CCGAGGCAGGCCAGGGGGTAGTGAGGGTGAGAGGCCGGCCAGCCCGGGGCCTGTGTCTCAGCCCCTCCCCTCTGGCAGCACGTGTCGCCCATGCGCCAAGCAGAGCCGCCCGCCAGGAAGGCGGCGGCTGCGGAGGACGACGAGGACGACGACATCGACCTGTTCGGCAGTGACGAGGAGGACGACAAGGAGGCCGTCCGGCTGCGGGAGGAGCGGCTGCGGCAGTACGCAGAGAAGAAGGCCAAGAAGCCGGCGCTGGTGGCCAAGTCCTCCATCCTCCTGGACGTGAAGCCCGTGAGTGCCCGCCTCGGACCTCCCCGCCCGGGTTCAGGAACCTCGGGCTCAGAGAGAAATGTGGGGCAGGGCAGGAGTGAGCTGTGCTGCCGGGCGGGCCTCCCGGGAGCCTGTGGGCCCCGGACCCAGCCTCTCCTCCCTTCATTCCCCAGTGGGATGACGAGACAGACATGGCCCAGCTGGAGGCCTGCGTGCGCTCCGTCCAGCTGGATGGGCTGACCTGGGGGGGCTCCAAGCTGGTGCCTGTGGGCTACGGCATCCGCAAGCTGCAGATCCAGTGCGTGGTGGAGGACGACAAGGTGGGCACCGACCTGCTGGAAGAGGAGATCACCAAGTTCGAGGAGCACGTGAGTGGGCAGGCCCGCGTGGGGGGCAGGTCCAGGGCCCGGCTGGGCAGCCTTTCGGAAACTGGGCCTCCCGTGACCACCGCCCTCCTTTCTCCAGGTGCAGAGTGTGGACATTGCTGCTTTCAACAAGATCTGAGCCCCAGCCCCACCCCACCCGGTGGCCCTGCCCCCATTAAAGACTGCAATTCCCTGTCTGGCTCCTGTCTGGTCTGGGCCCTATGGGCGGGGGCATTCAGTGAGCAGCGCTGCCAGGCCCGGCCTCAGTGGTGTCCCACTTGGGGGCCCGTCTGTCCTACAGCAGTGGTCCCAGGGGCCATGACCATCACCCCTTGCTTGGCCTCTGCACAGCCTTCCTGTGGCTGTGACCTCACCTGCTGCCCTCTCCTGTCTCGGCCTGTGTTCACTCACCCAGCAAGTGCCCTGCCCCGTTGAAGCTGTGGGCCAGGAAGAAGGCAGGCCCTTCACTCCTCACTGAGGCCCAGGAGGCACCCAGCCCTCCACTCTCCCTCTGCCTCCTCGCTGCTCCCGCTGAGCTGTCTCTGTGGGAGCAAAAGTGTGGCCTGCAGCTGTCCAGGAAAGAGGCCCTAGAGGCCGGCCTGTCCCTCCTGCTGTGACCAGGCTCCTGCTTCCCGATCTGACCCGTGTGAGACCCTGCCTCCCTCCCTGGTCCTCATTCAGCCCTCAGAGGGCACCCTGCCCTGTCCCCAGCACAGTGCCTGCAGCTCCATTGCTGGAGGACGGCCTGGGACAAGTCATGACACTCCCGTGGAATCCTGCCTGCTGCCCCACCCCCAGCCCCGCCTACCAGCCCGGGTGCCACTGGGTTCCGCCCAGCACTGGCCAGTCCTGCTGGTGAGAGCTGCTCTTGGTATCCTAGGAAGGTCTGGGCTGCAGCCACTTGTGGCCAGAGCTGCACCCCTTGGTGGGGGCCCTGAGGCTGCCCTGTATTACAGGGCTCCTGTGGGGCTCAGGGCAAAAGCCGCAGTGCCAGCTGGGGGTGGGCACCAGGCTGGCGCTTCCCGGCCACACCTGGGAGGAGCTGACGGGAAGCACCTCACCATCTGCCCCTCCCCGCGCCTGGGTGGCTCCCAGAGGGGCGGGGACAGTCCAGCAGGGGTTGGGATCACCACTGCCCTCTTGTACCCTCCCACCCGGTGCACAGAGCTGGGGGAGGCAGGAGGGGACCGTGCTAAAAGGGGCTGAGGAGCTGGGTGACCTGGGACGGGGACACTCCTCCAGCCCGCTCCGGCCTAGGGGACCCCTGTCCAGAGACCGGCAGCCCCGCCCCGCCC